TGCATTCCTGTTTGGGTGACAGAGTGAGAGTCCAACTCAAAAAAAAAAAAAAAAAAAGATTTCTTGTATGCATACAATACTTGTTTGTGTGTAATAATTTAAGATACAAATCCTGAGGTTTATTTTAATGGACAAGTTTTTTCTTTTTAAGTTTACAATTTCCAAAACTGGTTGGAAGTGGGGATATCATACTTTTTGCTCTTTTTTTTCACAGCCGGGCCCCTCAGATGAGAACTGCACCCAGGCCAGCACCGGCAGCTCAGCCACCAGCAGCGGCCCCACCATCTGCAGTTGGCTCACCGGCTGCTGCTCCCCGGCAGCCAGGTCTGATGGCCCAGATGGCAACCACTGCAGCTGGTGTGGCCGTGGGCTCTGCTGTTGGGCACACACTGGGTCATGCCATCACTGGGGGCTTCAGTGGAGGAAATAATGCTGAACCCGCAAGGCCTGACATCACTTACCAGGTAAAATTTGGGGCAGCATTTCCCTTTATGGGTGTATTTTATGAGAAAACCTAGTTGTAAGTTCCTTAGGTGTAGGAATTGTCTTTAAGATTCCACAGTGCTGTTAATAGACAATAGGTTATCAAAAGCCATACTTGGCAGTTGAGTTAGTACCTTAGGCCCGCATTAACAAGTACTGCACAAGTTGTATTTCTTCCCAAGGAGTAGAATTCTAACAGTCCAACCTAACTTGCTGTAAAACAGCCATTTTTCCCTTTGAATATTTTATCTTGGTAACATTTCCTACCAATCCAGTCTCAATCTTAGTTAATCAAAAGTCTTTTTACTATTTTTTGTTTGTTTACCTGATATTTACCTCTTTCTGAGGTATGTGGATTGTCTCTTCTAGTGATCATGGGTGTATACTCTTGCGTTTCTGGTGTATTTGAAACTCTAATACATCAATTTTTCTGTAATCCCATTTTTCTTTTTTTTTTCTGAGTTAGAGTCTTACTCTATCACCCAGGCTGGAGGGCCGTGGCACACTCCAGGCCACTGCAGCCTCAACCTACTGGGCTCAGGTGATCCTTCCACCTCAGCCTTCCAAGTAGCTGGAACTACAGGCACACGCCACCATGCCCGGCTAGTTTTTTGATTTATTGTAGAGATCAGGTCTTGCCAAGTTGCCCAAACTGGTCTCAGACCCGTGGGCTCAGGCACTCCTCTCACCTCAGCCTCCCAAAGTGCTGGGATTATAGGCGTGAGCCACCATGCCCAGCCTAATCCCATTTTTCATCCATAAAGCTCACTATGTCATTTAGTCTTGAGATACCTAGGTAGCTATTCCAGTTTATTTGCATCTTTGTTCTTGAGTCTTTCTGATTACACCTGGAATTTTATGAAAGCACATTTGCTTTTTGCCTTTAAATCTTTTTACTTCTTGTATTATTAGATAGAAATATTAATTTGGATCTGGTTCTAGTTCTCTTTCCCTAGTTAGCCTTAAAGATAGATACAGTTCTTTGTGTAGATGTAAACATGATTTTCTTTCTCAGCAGTATTGAATGTTTTGTCTTTGCAGGAACCTCAGGGAGCCCAGCCCACACAGCAGCAGCAGCCTTGCTTTTATGAGATAAAACAGTTTTTGGAGTGTGCCCAGAATCAGGGCGACTTAAAGCTCTGTGAGGGTTTCAGTGAGGTGCTGAAACAGTGCAGACTTGCAAACGGTAGGTGACTTATTGAACTTACATCTGCTTAATTTACAATGGTGTTCCTGGACTCTGTAGAACTTAGGTAGTCTGCGTTTAATACTTTTTTAAAAAAAACATGACCATGCCCAGCTTTTTTTTTTTTTTTTTTTTTTTAATTGTAGAGATGAGGTCTCACCAAGTTGCTCAGGCTGGTCTCAAACCCATGAGCTTAGGCAATCCTCTCGCCTAGGCCTCCCAAAGTACTGGGATTGCAGGCTTGAGCTGCTGCACCTGGCCTATTTAATAAATTAAATTGACAAGTTAGAGGAGATTTTTTTTAAATTTCTCAGGAAATAATTTAACTCTTCTAAAAACTGGTCCAGAGGTTTCTAGTCACTGTCTTTTTTTTTTTATTTTTGAGTTGGAGTCTCACTGTCGCACAGGTTGGAGTGCAGTGGCATGCTCACGGCCACGCAACCTCAACCTCCTGGGCTCAGGTGCTCCTTCTGCCTCAGCCTTCTAAGTAGTTGGAACTACAGGCATGCATCACTGCACCCAGCTAATATTTTGACTTATTGTAGAGAGATGAGATCTCACCAAGTTTTCCGTGGGCTCAGGCAATCCTCTCACCTCAACCTCCCAAAGTGCTAGGATTATAGGCATGAGTCACACTGTGCCTGGCCTCTAGTCACTATCTTAAGCTTTACCAGTTATATTCTGAATCTCAATCTTCCTTAAGGAGGTATAAATAGGTTTCTTATACCAGATCTTATTGTGGTTACTGCATGTGAGTGATTTCCTACCCTTCAGGCCATGAATATAAAATTCATTCCATTTTCTCCAAAAATCCAGGAATGGACATAAAGAGACCGATAATATTGTTGCCATTCTGTATACCTCATTGAGAGAGAAGAAATACATTAAATCCCTCAGGGAAATGCTTGATGTTTAGAGTCTCTTGTTGGTTGCAGGATGTCTTTATAGCTTACAAAAGAAACCAATAACCTTGGGCTGTTGTTCCTCTTTGCATAATTTGTAGGGCTTTGTTGAGTATATGCAGCTAGTACTCATCTAACTTATCTTTTCTGTTTGCAGGATTGGCCTAATCGAGGTCAGATTGAAGCAATGGAAAATCGGCTCTCATGACCAAGTTGATTTAGCATAAAAATATAATTGATAATGAAGGTATAAAGTGCAAAAGCACCAGTTAAACCTCCCCTCTGTCATTCATAGCTTCCTTCAGAATTGCAATGAAAGAGATGGTTCTTACTGTGTAGAATTTCATTAAGATGGTGTAGTATTTGGGACTAGGCAAGTGTTTGTGTGGCCTCCTTAAGCCAGCTGTTGTGATTTTGGGTTTTTTGTGAGTTAATTAGAATAAAGTGGTTTTCTTCCAAGATGTGATGTCTTTAAGTGTAAGGTCATAAGTTGGAAGTGGTATACACATGCGTGCTGAACTTAAGCATTTTGCAATAGAACATAATTGTCTCAACATGTCTTTAAATTCATCTATTCTCTGAATATTAAATTAGCAACTACTGGGAAGATCGGACAGCTAGCTGCCTGAGGAGTTACGTAAGGAGTCACTCACTAGCAGACGTGCTGCTCAGTACAAAGATTCCAGGTGCTACAGGCCTGGAGTTCAACAAACTGAGCAGTAGCAGGAGCTTTGCTTAAAATACCATTTTAATCAGGTGAATAATAAGGGAAACATGGGAATAGTCCTGTTCCAGGTGAGGTTCCTGGGGCCAGGTCAGCACGACATGTCACTGTTCCCCTACTATTTTCAATGAATTGGTTGAAACTAAAAACCATTCTCTTAATATAGGCTGTTCCCCTGCAGATTTTTTTTTTTCTACTTAAGGTATTGTAGCCCCTTCTTCCTGAAAGACTCACGTTAGCTGCAGTCACCCACTTGGTTGGGAAAGGACTCAGGGCGGGGGAAGCTCAACATTTCATTCTCTTCTAGGAGTTAATATCTAGCGTGCGTTTTGCTCTGCAGTTTTCATAGGTTTCATTATCTGATGTTTTTCCCTTTTAAACGAAGTTTCAGAGACCTCCATTACTGCAACGTGAGTGAAGTGCTGGTGAATGAGTGAATTATTCTTTTGCTGCCTCCTATCCTCAGCCATGTTCTTGGAGTACCTCGCTCTGCTAAATATTCAGTTCCTGAAAGGGGTCAAGACTCCCTTCCTTGAGGACCTGAATGATCACAAACAATTCACTCTTGGCCAGTCTCCCAGAACATTCTCTCCTGGGTTTATGGTAGGCTCCTTTGTTCATTTTTGTGGAGGTTCAGGACTTCTGAGTTCATAGTGTTAATGCACAGATGCCCCTTGTGTCCAGGGTGTAGTGGTGTGTTGATTAATCAAAAAAATGAACCGCAAATGTTGACAAAATGCAAGAGAGGCTGACCTGGCCCCTCCTTGGTAGAAGCCACAGCTATAAGAAGGGCATGGGATGAATAAGACACTAAGTGCACTGACCTTTGCCCTAAGGTTCAGAAGGGATTTTGTGATGCATTGGAGGTACAGCTGGCCCTCCGTGTCCACAAGTTCCACATTCATGGATTCAACCAACCCAGGAGTGGAAATAATTTGAAAAATAAATGGATGGTTGCGTCTATACTGAACATGCTCAGACGTTTTTCCTGGTCGTTATTCCCTAAACAATACAGTATAACAACTATTGACATAGTATTAGGTATTATAAGTAATCTGGAGATGATTTAGAGTATATGGAAGGGTGTGCATAGGTTATATGGAAATACTATGGCATTTTATATATAAAGAACTTGATCATCTGGAGTTTAGTATCCAGGAGGGTCTTGGAACTAGAGATACCTTATAAATCAGCAAGTCAAATCAGCAAGTCAAAGCTTAGAAAGTAAGGGGCAGGTAGGCCTGTTAATAAAGGAAGAGTTCCAGGTGTTTTCATCCTTGGAAGATTTGCATTTCAATTTGCTGCATTCCAATAACTTAGAGGCCTTTATGCTTAGAACTCATACCCTGAAGTCTTTTTCAACTCCTTTCTACATCACAATTCAGCAAAAAACTGCCCAGAGAGAAGGAAATGGATGGTCTGCATACTATGGAAAGAACACACCCTCACAATATCTGGGGTTAATCTAGGCTCTTCTCACCTATTTGGCGACCTTGAGCAAATCTCTCAAATTTGCTTAATACCAGAGTTTTAGAGTCCAAATCACATTATCAAATTTAACATCTCAGCTTGTGTGTAAAGCACTATCCTCCCACCCCCTGCCATTAATTTGGAATATTAGAATTAGGGGTTTGAAAAAAGGTAGTTATTTTTTGAGTCAAGAGTCTGGCTCTGTCATCCAGGCTGGAGTGCAGTGGCATGATCACAACTCACCATAACCTCAAACTCTTGGGCTCAGGTAATCTTCCTGCCTCATCTTCCCGCAAAACTGGGATTACAGGTGTGTGTCTCCACACTCAGTTAATTTTTTTTTTTATTGAGGTCTTGCAGTGTTGCCTAGGCTAGTCCTGAACTCCGAGGCTTATGCAGTCCTCCTGCCTTGGCCTCCTAAAGTGCTGGGATTACAAGCATGAGCCACTGTGCCTGGTCAAAAATTAGTTTTAGAATGAGATGGAGCAATGAAAAGTTTCTGCTGTGTATTTTATTTCCAATTCTTCCAATTCCTTAAGGTAGAATCATACTGATGTGGAACTTGGTCTAATTTGCATGTGGTTAGACCTGTAATCTTTTCTTGGCACATGGAACTCCTCCCAATAGAAACTACAGGCTGGAAACAATGGATTAAGGAAGATTTTTTGTTGTTGCTGTTACTGTTTTAAGTTACTTCTGATGTAAGGTTAAAGGAAAGTTTTTTTTTTCCTTCCACCTCAACCTTCCAAGTAGTCGGAACGACAGGTGCACGCTACCACACCTGGCTAATTTTTGATTTATTGTAGAGACAGGGCTTGCCAAGTTGCCCAGGCTGGTCTCGAACCCACGGGCTCAGGCAATCGACTTGCCTCGGCCTCCCAAAGTGCTGGGATTGCGGGCTGAGCCACCGAACCCAGCAAAGGAAAGTTCTTTAAATGAAATTATAGAAGGCAGATCAGAGATGGATTCCTAGAGGAGAATTTCCCTAGCCTTTAGGGTCTGCATTATGTAAAGGAATCATATAAACTATCCCCGAGAAGATCTGGATCTCTAGGTCCCTGTGACAGCCAGGACTGTCAGCCGCCGCAATCGTGCTCTGAGGCATTCTCCATGCCTCTGCTCTCAGCACACACAAAATCGAAATAAATTCCAGAGAAGCAAGTGCAATCCCAACAAGGCTGGCTTTGTCTCTTCCGGGCCTGGAGGCCACTGAGCTCCAGAGGAAAGCCTGGCCACTTCGTGCCGCCCTACCAGGTCCCAGGTCACCCGAGCTTCCCTCACCGTCCACCAGAGGGCACCGCTAGGCTCGGCGCCCTGTTCCAGCTGAACCTTGGCCTGCATCCCAGGTTCGCAGTTGTGGTTTATTTTTGGTACGTCAGTCTTTGGACATCAAGTAGCAAAACCCAAAAGAGGAGCAGCAGCTCTGGCTGCAAATGTCTGCTCGGGACACAGCTTCGGCCCCCTGTTGTCCCTTCTCCCTCAGGAGCTCTGAGACCTTTGGGGTTCTTGTCAAGCTCATTCACGGGCCTGCAAGGACTTAACGGTGAGTAGCCAGGCCAGTGATGGACCAAAGCCCAGCGGCAGGGAGGGGCTGTGGGATGGTGATAAAAGATAGAAATCCCCAAATCTGTCAGACCCATTTTTCTCTTCTAAAGGCAGACGGACCCGGGAGAGTGGCAGCTTTGACTCTTGAAACCCTCATCGGGGGAGGCTGATACGGTTTTCGGACTTTCAGAGTTTGGGGGAGGGATGTTATGTTCCAAAAAGGACCAGGCCACCTGCTGCCATTCGGAGACCCTCTCCCAAGGGGTCTTGGGAAAAGTGTGAGAGGACCAGTGGACAGAGACACAAAGTTGGCCCTAGTCAGGCTTCAGAGCAGGGGAATGGGGCAAAACAACCACCGCCTGGCCCTTAGGAAAGGTGACCACAGCCAGAACCCAGCCAAGCTGACTGTACCAGGATAGCATCCTGTGGTGGTGGCGGGGGCAGCGGGGAGATATCCTCTGCCCATGGAGGGCTGGGGAAGGGAAGGAGCCGGTACTGCTCAGCTTTGGGGAGTGAGGGACACTGATGCCCATCTTGGGAACTTAGAAGGACTTGCCAGGAAATGGGCTTGTTTTTGAGGGGGACAGACACTCCTGGCTCAGCTTGGTGGGGTTGCTGATGGGGCAGAGGAGGCCTGTGAGCAGCCCAGACGCCTGCTACTGGCAGACAGGGCTTGTTATTCTAAACCTTCTCCTGGTAACCAGGCACCCAATAGTGGAGCCATCAGGATTCCTGGAACAGCTAGCCTGATCACTGAGGAGGCCGGGGCTGCTCCCTGGCTGGTCAGCAAATTAGCTCCTTTAAGAGGCCAGGCCTTCTTGGGCCCAGAAGGGGAGGGGAAAATAGCACTGGAGAGAGCTTTGGCCCTGCTGACAGGCAGTCTGTGCCTGTTGTTGTTTTTTTTTGATTGTGTATTTATTCTCACATGTTTAAATTTCAGTCACCTTCAGATACTCTCCATTTGATTCAATACACTTATCAAGATGTTTCTTCCACTTCTCAAGCAGTTTTTGATCTTTTTTTTTTTTTTGAGTTGGAGTCTCACTCTGTCACCCAGGCTGGAGTGTAGTGGCATGCTCACGGCTACTGCAGCCTCAGCCTGCTGGTCTCAGGTGATCCTTCTGCCTCAACCTTCCAAGTAGCTGGAACTATAGGCGTACACCACCGAACCTGGCTAATTTTTTGATTTATTGTAGAGATGAGGTCTCACCATGTTGCCCAGGGTGGTCTCAAACCCCTGAGCTTGGGCAATCCTCTTGCCTTGGCCTCCAAAGTGCTGAGATTATAGGCGTGAGCCACTGCACCTGGCCTGTACCTGTTTTCTACTTGTCTTTCCTCCTGTTGGCAGATGATCCTGCATCTGAGGCAGGAGACCAGTTCCCTGGTAGGAGCCTCTCCATTCTCGAAGCAAAGTGGGTCAGCTCAGCCCCTGTGCATCCAGGCCTGTGTGTCCTGGCCTGGTTCTGTCTCACACTGCAGCAGAAACACTCAGGGCTATTGGCCATCATTAGGTGGGACGTGGGGCATTCTGCCAGGAGGACCTGGACCAAAAGGATGCCTGTCTAACCATCAGTACACATCTAGGGAACAGCACCTGCTAATACCTGCACTGAGCACAGAGGGCAGAGATGGCTGGCACATCCTAGGGAAGATCACGATCTAATGGAGGAGATGGCAGCACACACTGACAAGTGACACCAGAGGCTGAGACCAGGACTCACCTGCCCAGCTCTGCATCCATCAGATCACCTAGTACACTGCTTAACATAGAGTGGGTGGTCTGTGGCTGCAGAAGGGAGATTGGAAGGAATGAATGAGTGAGTGACGGTGAAAGTCCCAGTTATGGGCAGGATAACAGGAAGAACCAGTGGGCTGGAGTGCAGGGGGTAAATCTTAGAAGGAAGGATGTTGTCTGAGTTGGACAGTCATGACTCAGAAGGATCAGGAGGGGGCATAGGAGCGGCATATTAAGAAGGAAATCAGCCGGGCTCAGTGGCTCAACCTGTAATTCCACGCCTTGGGAGGCTGAGGTGAGTGGATTGTCTGAGCCCACGGGTTCGAGACCCACCTGGGCAACTTGGTGAGACCTCATCTCTATAATAAATCAAAAATCAGCCGGGCCTGGTAGCGCACACCTGTAGTTCCAGCTACTCGGAAGGCTGAGGCGGAAGGATCGCCGGAGCCCAGCAGGTCGAGGCTGCGGTGGCCGGGAGCGGCCACTGCACTCCAGTCTTGGGGGCAGAGTGAGACTCCAACTCAAAAAAAATAAAATCTAAAATCATGCTGGCCTTGTCAGTGTTAACCTTGGGCTTAATTTCCTGCCTTGGGCCTGGGCCTGGCCTGGCTGAGTATCTGCTGCCTTCATCTGGAACTGTAAAAAGCCACATGGTCTCCTGGGGGGTCACAGGAGTAGACAGTGGGAAGAAGCAAGCCAGACACTTTCCAAAGTTCCAGACAGTGAGAGGGACGAAGAACCCAGAAGGAAAGATGGTCATCACTGGGGGCCAGAAAGGGCTAGGAAACCAGGTGGCTGAATCTTTTCTTTTCTTTTCTTTTTTTTTTTT